GGCAATTCAAATGTTGCCTTTGTTTTCTGTCACCTTCCAACCCCTCAGCACTTCTAGTCAGATACAGATTCATCAGTGTATGCAACATCCTTTGTAATTTAAAATAAAAAAAGATGAAAAGGTTTTGAATTGTTTGCCTCATGTTTTCGCCCCCTCTCTGTTGCTTTTCTTTTGCTTACCAAGGTAACCGTCTGCGCCTCTGCAAGATAACCCCCTGCAAAGAAATTCCAGACTAAAGACAGCCGTGAACTGTGAATTGTGCTGCCCCCCTCTTGGTGCAGGACATAAAGAGCTAACATTTTGGACACTTTGGGCTGATTTTTCAGTACTCTAGTGAAATGTAGTATTCTGGAGAATTACTTATTGATGAAAACATTTGCATTCTTCATAGCTTGGAGCCCAGTTTAGTTTACACGTATTTTTTCCTCTTTGATTCTTCGGTTAAGCAAGGGAAATAAACGGTTTTGAGTCTCTCCTGACTTAAACATTTGTATGTGTTTAATGATTCAAAGCAAGTCTCTGAGATAGGCTGGGCGTATACACAATCTTCTTCTTTTTCTTTTTTTTAAAGATTTTATTTATTTGAGAGCAAGAGAGAGCACTAGCAGGGGGAGGGGCAGAGGGCGAAGCACTGTCCTCTGCTGAGCAGGGAGCCCAGGACCCTGGGATCATGACCTGAGCTGAAGGCAGACGCTTAACCAACGGAGCCACCCAGGTGTCCCCATATACAGAGAGTCTTGCTTCAGGGGACCTGAGTGAACACCGTTGAAGCAGCGTGTGCCTTGAAATGCTAAACATTTGTTTAGCATACATTTTGCCAAGACCTGTGCTAGGTAGAGATACCCAGGAACTCAAAATTTGCTGAGGGGAGGCAGCATGTGAATAAGACAAGAGCTGTTACACATGCCAAGGGTTCTGGGTACCTTATTGCTGAGATACTTGCAAGGACACAGGTACCACATCCAGTAGGGTATGCTAGAGAAGAATCAACAGGCTTGTGTTCATGACATCCCAGGATTCTTGAAGTTCTTTTTGCTTCATTTGAGTGACATTGGGGCTGAAGTGGAGATAGCCTCTCATGGACTTGACCTCCATCCAAACCACCCCTCACAGGAGCCTCCATCATGGTCTGGGAACTTTTAAGGAGCTGGGTGAGCCTGGGTGGCTCAGATGGTTGAGCGTCTGCCTTCGGCTTGGGTCATGGTCTTGGGGTCCTGGGATCGAGCCCCGCATCGGGCTCCCTGGTTGGCGGGGAACCTGCTTCTCCCTCTCCCTCCACTGTTCCCCCTGCTTGTGCTCTCTCGCTCTTTCTGTCAAATAAATAAACAAAATCTTTGAAAAAAAGGAAACATTTTGTGGGTAGCACCTAGTTAAATGGGTTATTCAGTTGCCACTCCTCACCCACAGTGGTTCAGAACCAGGAGAACTCTTTAGCCAGAAATCCATAAAGTTGGGAAATGCTTTAATATCCCAGCTGAAAGGTTTAGAATAAGAAAAGGGTGTTAGGAAGTCTAGAAGGCAGGGGTGGCTGGCATTCATTAAACCCCTGCTAGGTGCTTTCCTTTCAAGTAACTCAGCTCTCGGTGGTGCAGTGAGGTGGGTGGTCATGTCCATTTTACAAAAGAGAATAGACTCAGATAAGGGGACTCACTTGAGACCCAGCGTATATGATACCCCCAATTGAAACTCCAGTCTGCTCCTGCACTCAGAGACAATTCATACTCCTAAAGGACCAGGCCAGGTCACAGGCAATATTTGAATGGATATCTGTGTAGGAGGGAGATAATGGGCTTAGAATCTGAAAAACAGAACTAAAGCCAAAAACTATGGGGCGCCTGGGTGGCTCAGTCGTTAAGCCTCTGCCTTCGGCTCAGGTCATGATCCCAGGGTCCTGGGATAGAGCCCAGCATCGCACCCAGCATCGGGCTCCCTGCTCAGCAGGAAGCCTGCTTCTCCCTCTCCCACTCCCCCTGCTTGTGTTCCATCTCTCGCTGTGTCTCTCTCTGTCATAAATAAATAAATTAAATAAATAAATAAATAAATAAGTCAAAAACTAGCAGATGTAGTAACCAAAAGCTAATCTCAGGATCTGTGGGTAAAGGTGATAGAAGCAAAAGAACATTGGCAGTAGTCAGTGATTGAGAGCGTGGGTCACTGCATTGTACATCTATCCCTCAAAGATGGCCTCTAGCTTAAGGGCTTAGAATTGGGTCTCTTTGTTAGAAGGGAGCATGCTGGAGGGATGTTTTCTTCTTCAACTGTTGCAGAACGACTGCATGGAGACTCAGTTACATAGGAATTTCCAGCAAGAAGGGGCCCAAGGTCATGTGTCCTAAATAGGGAGCTTCTATCTGAGGATCCAAAACTTTTGAGTGACCTGAAAAACGTCAGTTTCTTTAAAGGATTTTAGTCTTAAAACATCACCAGGAATGAACTTAAAATGTACAGGGTCTAGATAAAGAAAACTTTAAAATAACATGAAGGACACAGAAGAAGACTTGAACAAATGGAAAGAAAGACCCAAATTCTTGAACCAAAGCAGCCAACAACGTGAAGCTGTCAGTCCTCAAAATTAAATTAAAAATTAATGCTCTCTCAAAATATACCCTCATTGTTAAAAAAAACAAAACAAACAAAGTTCATAGGGGAAAAAAAATAATAGCTGGAAGATGCTGGGGGAAAAAAAAGATCAGGCATTTAATCCAAACACATGAAAACACATAAAACTATAAAACTGTCATTTTGGTGCATAAATAGACCAATAGAACAGAATGGAAGGTCTAGAAATAGATTCAAACATAAGAATTTATTAAGGTAAATGTAGCATCCAGAACCAGTGGAAAAAAGATGGATTCTTCAGAAAACAGGATTGGAACAACTGGGAAACTCGAGAAAGAAAAGTTGGCTCTGTATCTCATACAATAAGCCAATATATATCTCAAAATGTATAAATGAACAAATAACAGAAGAAATATGGGCAATTCCTTTAAAACCTGTGGGGTGAGGGTAGGGAGGGTTTTCTAACTTGGATCCCAAATCCAGGAGTCATAAATGAAGATTGATAAATTCTATGTAAAATAAAAATTAAAAACTTTTAAGGCCAAAACCATCATAAGGGAAGTCGAAATTCTATAGCCTATGCAAAAAGCACATCTCTAAGGGCTAATCCTCCTAATATATAAAGAGCTCCTGGAAACTGGTATGATAAAGAACCACCACCTAATAGAGAAATGAGCCAAGTAAATACAAATAGCACTCAATCTCATTCATGATAAGAGAAATGCAAATTAAAAGATGGCATTTTTCACTTAATCAAATCGGCAAAAGTCCTAGTATTTGTTAACACAGCACGTTGGCGAGGCCATGGGAAAGCAAGCATTTGTACCGCATTTCTGGAGGAGTATAGATTCATATAACCTCTCTGAAGAGCAATCTGGTGGTATGTACCTAAATTTTAAAAATGCACATATCCTTTGACTAGCCCTTCCGTTTGCACTGGACAAGTCATTCTCTCTGTGCCTATTTCTTTACGTGTAAAATGTGGATAATTCTACCTCATAGGGTTGTCGTGAGAGTCAAGTTAGATGACACACATTAAGAACTTAGTACAAAGTGCCGGGCACGTAGGAAGTGCTCCGAAAATGTCAGTCATGTTCTAGCAGCTAGTGCCCATTGAGTTCTTAAACACATGCCACATTACTGCACTGTGCTTGGTGCTTTTCATGTACTACCTCATTTAATCCTCCAGCCAACCCTGTGATTACCACCAGTTAGCCTCAGGATTCTGAGGGACAGAGGTGTGAAGTGGGTTGTCCTGCAGGATTCAAGCAGGGTCGGCTCCCAAGCCTGCAGTACACTCCCTATTAGGTGCAGTGGGATGATAAACACCTTAAGGGGCAGTGTGTGGAGCACTGGAGAAACGCAGATGGGCAAGCTACATAGCCCCAAGGGTACAACACTACCCAAGGGGCCATATTTGGTTTTTGAGGGAAGACATGGCTTTCAGTGAAGGCTCTGCCACTTTCAAGTTGGGTAACCTTGGGGCAGGGTTGTTCAGTTTGGGTTTGTTTCACTTTGATCTACTCTTAGTCCATCTACTGATCTGTAAAACTGGGGTATTGCCTATTTCAAGTGTGGTTGAAGGGTTAAGAGATACACAGCTAAGCATTCAGGTCTTCATAATTTATGCTTGCTGATGTGAACAAAAGTATATGGGGCGGGAGCAAGAGGGGGGAAGCATATAAGAAAAGGGAACAGCATATTCCAAAGCTACAGATCCAAAAAGAACTTGAGGAATCCAGGGTGAGGTGGCTGATGGCCTTGAAGACCAGCTAAGAAACTTTGACTATTTAATAATAAAAATAAAAGAGCCACCATTTGTTGAGGGTCTGCTCTTAATTATTTCCATCAAAACTACTCCAGCGAGGTAGATTTAATAAATCCAACTGTACACAAAAGGAAACTTCCAGGAGCCACAGAAGAGGTGTAGGCAGGGAGGTGACTTGATCAGTTGCGATTTTAGAACCCTTGGGCCATGTGTTGAACTGACAGGGGGTGCTCTAAGAGACCTGCCTTGAATTCCATACATTAAAAGTAGTAATAACATTTTTCATTTTTTCATTTGCTCCACAGTTTATATTCACTGTACAACAATGAAAAATATAAGAAAATTTAAAGAAATATAAAAAATTGTTAACTCCACCTTCCAGAGACATCCTAATTGATACTTTCCTTCCAGTCTTTTTTTTTCCTCTATGCAAAAAATATGTAGTCATTAGAATGGCTCTTAGATAGAAGATGGGGAGAAGCCACTGCAAAAACGCCCTTGATACTCCCTCTCTCTTCTTCGTTTTCTTAGGACCACACCAAGAAGCGAGGCTGAGTGCAGCCGAGTTCTCAGGAGAAGTCCCTAGGACTTGCCGCCTCTCCCCTCGCTCGCCTCAGGCCGGTCTCTAGAGGGCGCTGCCGGAAGCCCGGGCGCGGAAGGAACGCGCGCGGAAACGCGCTTAAATTTGGGCACCCCCGCTTCCCGTAGCCTGCGTCCTCAACATGGCGGCCTCCCAAGATGTCCACGTCCGTATCTGTAACCAAGAGATTATCAAATTCGACCTGGAGGTGAAGGCGCTTATCCAGGTACTAATTCCCGGGACCCCTGCCGGGCTCCAGCAGCCTTAAACCCAGGCTCCGCTGGCTTCCTGTGAGCTTGGCGGTCTCACTCCCGAGCTTTCCCCACTTGGTCAAGTCCCTGAGGTCGTTGGTCCCGCCCCATGGCCGGCTACCCCGTTGTGGTCCCCCTTTGGTCCCGTTTCCTTGACCGTTGGCCCTGATCCTCCATCCACTTGCTGTCGTCTTGCCCTCTTCTGGACACTCCCATGTTCCCCGGTCCCTGACCAGGCTGCCCCTTTGTGGCCCCCATTGGCCCCTCCCGGGCACACTTATCGACTGGGACCGCCACACAACATACCTGTCACCCTGGTTGGCCCCGCCTTCTGACACCGCCCTCCCCACCGTTTGGTGGCGCCCTGAGGGGCATTAGCCCCGCCCCCTCCTGGGCAGCTGGGCAGGGTGCGGTGTCCCGTGGTACCAAAGGCCGCCTGACACGGGAGGCACCCGGTGAAATGAACTTAACTTAGACTGTAGTTGTGACTTTGTAAGTGAGGAAATCGGGTAAAGTGCCAAGGCCTGAATCAGAGGGCAGATGGTGGCAAAACTGCGACCTGACGGGGAAGGTCCGCCTAGAGAGGGACTTAAGGAGTATCTACAACTTCGCTTAACAGATGGGGTAATTGAGATGCTTTGCCTTAAGCCACTTAAGGGCAGAAGGCAGCAGAGCAATAACCAATTGACATAGGCAAGAGTTAGGAGTGTAGAAATGGTTCCTTGAATTTAGCAAAAAGAAACTAGGAGTTTTAAACCTTGGTTTTAGGCAAGTCATTTCCCTTTCCAACAAATGTTAGTAGACATTAGATGTAGACTGAGAGTTTGCAACTAGCTGTGGCAAAAAGTGAAGGAAAGTAGGACTTCCCATAGAAAGCAGATGCAGAATAAACCAAAGTAGTGCCTTATCGTGGTGCAAGGGGGTGTGATTTAGCGAGTAAGCCAGAGAACAAGTGAGGAAACTTGATGCAAGCATTTAGACTTCTTCAACTTCACTTCTTCTCCATACACATTGCAAAACTTCTGGGATGAGTCTAGAAAAACAAATATAGGATTCATACAAATAAAATTGCCTGTTTACATAATCTAAGTTGCTTAAGTCCCCTTTTGTACTCTCTCATATTTGGGTTCTCATGGCTGCTAATGAGAAAGATTGATTATATCTAGATTTACTGCACTCTTACTGTGTTCCAACCCCTCTGCAACATGCTTTCCATACATATATGGTCTATGTGGTAGGCAGTGTGATGAGGAAACTGAGACACAGAGAACTCAAGTGACTTTTTGTTACACAGTCAATAAATTGCTACAGCCAGAATTTGAATCCACATACTCTGGCTCTAGGGCCTGCTCTAAAACCTGACCCCAGTCATTTTGAATGTCCAGAAACAAATTCTAAATTGACTCTTGGACATGTCTATAAACAGTGTGATTTATAACAGATGGTTTGTAAAATCAGATTGAAGTTAACCTTGTCCTTTTCCTATGATGCCAGCAATTGAGTTTGCAAGTTGGAAAGATCTAAAGTTAAAGTATCACTTTTGGATGTCCATTCTTGTTGGACATACAAGCTGCTTTAAGCCTTTTTATACCGACCAGGTGGCGTTTTGTTAAACTTTAGGAACTAGTAAGTCAAGACAGTTGTGTTTCTTTTTATGCTTTTATATTACATGCTCAAAATTAAAGAGGTATGAGAGAAATGTAAATGATAATGTTTTTGCTTGTGTTGCAGAGGTAAGCCGCAAAGATCAGGATGAATTATAGTCAGTAGGCCAGCCTTAGTTGTGGTCTAAGCCAATTCTGTCATTGTACAGATGGTATCATTTCATTTCATTGCCTCGAGAAAGGCCCTCTCACCTCTTCGATGTCTCCTAGGATATTCGAGATTGTTCAGGACCATTAAGTGCACTTACTGAACTGAATACTAAAGTGAAAGAGAAGTTTCAGCAGTTGCGGCACAGGATACAGGTGAGTAGCTGCAGAGCTGAGGTGTGGGGAGATTGGGTAACAATGAGGAGGCTCCATCTTGGGAGTAACCTCCGCTTGAGAGCTGTCCAGGTTTTTTTGTTTTGTTTTGTTTTGTTTTGTTTTGTTTAGTAAACGTTTGGACAGTGAGGGTAACTGTACTACCATGCTCTCAAGGTAAAAGTAAGGAACTTTTGAATGTATTGTCAGTGTCTCCTGGGGTTTTTTTCATGCTCTGCTTTGCCTAGCGTCTTCCTCCCTGTTTCTGAGGTCTCCAATCACTTCATATGCACATATAGCACTCCTGAATCCAACTAAGGTGTATGTGCTCTCTCAAAAACCACCGGAGTGAGAAGTATCCATTTGCATAGCCTGTTTCTGCTGCTGTGCCCTAGTGAGAATAAGATGGGTGCGTGGATCTGCCCATCCCTGAGTGGGTCTGGGGGCACCCGGTCTCACTGCTTGTGGTCCTGGGATTTAAAGACCTGTGCTTTTCCTGTGATGTGGCCCCAGATGCCAGCCAACAACCTTGTTGTTTAACAGAAGACAGTCTGTTTCCAAAGCTGGAAGAAAAACTGGCTATTCGGAAATAGTATGTCTGGGTCCTGTGTGTTGCCTTCCTAAGGGATTTTCAAGGCAGTTGTGAAAATAAGCAGCTTTTGTCATAAAAATTCACTTTAGAATTTTAACAATGTCACTGAACCTAGCTGATCTTTTTGCCTCCATCTCTAGCACTGATTTAATCATTTAATTTTTTATTTTTGAAAGGCTATTACTTTCATATATATATATATATGAATGTATGTTTATAAATATGGGCACATAGTGGGGCACCTGGGTGGCTCAGTCGTTAAGCGTCTGCCTTTGGCTCAGGTCATGATCCCAGGGTCCTGGGATCGAGCCCCTCATTGGGTTCCCTGCTCAGCGGGAAGCCTGCTTCTCCCTCTCCCACTCACCCTGCTTGTGTTCCTGCTCTCACTATCTCTCTCTGTCAAATAAATAAAATCTTTAAAAAAAAAAAATATGGGCACACAGTGAAACCTTCAAATTGTTTGCTACCAGTCAATAATGAAATAGGTACCGGGATTGAGAGTGAGCATTTAGACGTGTAGCAGTTTGATATTTCCATGATATCTCCAAGTGGGACCAGGGGGCTCCTCTTGAGTAATTTTTTATTCCCTTTCATTCCAGGCGTGCCCTAGATTATAGGAGTGAATCTCCCATTCCAGGGCAGCCATGCATCACTCACAGGTTGACCGCTCTGTCTCTTAGTTCCCTTCTCTCCTTGGGGCCCTGGGGATTATCTCTACTTTCTTGCAAGTCAGTTATATATTTATAAGGATGTTTGTTTTCTGATACCTGGCATTCCTAAGTGTTCTCTTTTAGGAGGGTTTTCAAGTGCTATTGTATAACCTGCCTAGAAGAGAAGTGCTCTTTGGTTTTTATATTGGCTTTTAAAATCATTTTAAAATCATTTTAATATAGCGCTCTTTTCCCCCAAAGGAGCTTGAGCAGTCAGCTAAAGAGCAAGACAGAGAGTCGGAGAAGCAAGCTCTGCTCCAGGAAGTGGAGAATCACAAAAAGCAGATGCTCAGGTAGGTGAGGCCTGTGCTGGGTCACTTGCTCCCTGGGAGGCTTGTACAAGGGTTTGCTTAACAAACCTGGCTTAATGATTTAATTGTGTCATTTATACACACTACTGATCTAGAGAGATCAGTAGTTCTCAAAGCAGGGGCCAGCAGGGGTTGTTGGTAGGTCAAATTGTGTATAGTTTGCAAAAGCATATTTACCATTATGCTGTATTTTATATTTTTAAGACAAAACCAAAAAATGGTTGCTTTTATAATACAGGGTCCTTTTTCTTTAAGCATAACTGTTACCAGAGAAAGTCCTACTTAAGATGGACCAAAATTTAGAAAGCTTTGAATGGGACTTTATCTTAAAAAATAAATAAATAAATAAATAAAATAAAATAAATAAATAAAATAAAAAATAAAACCCCCCCAAATGTAAATAAGGTTATGTTACGTTAAAGAAAATGGTGGTTATCGTTGTAGCTGTGTGCTAACCTTTGATTATATAATTGAAGTATGTGCTATTTCTGGGTATTGAGTTGGGGGACTTGCCAACAAAATTGTCTGATGGCATGAAACAGTACCTGTCCCTTCACATTTGGCTTTTGTATCATAGTCATAAAGAAGTTTGTCGTGGCAAAAATATTTGAGGGCTCCATCAACTCTCCCAATCCTCTGGTAGCCAGGTCATTCTCTTTTGAAGCCCGTGCTAATCATCATCCTCCTGGGTGTTCCCTTCGTCCTTGTTAATTGCTCTAATTCTGCCACACCTGTTTTTGTCTGTGGTTTTGCTTCTGATTTGAATAATTCTCCAGCGTCATCCTTGCTGACAACAGCTGTGTTTATAACACCCAGCTACAGGAGGAGACTGACAAAGATGTGGGCATGGTGGGGGCTAGTTAGTGTAAGTAGGGAGGGATGTGTGAGTGGTGACCAGTGTTAAAGTGCGTGGCTCAGTCATAATATTTTGTGTCGTGATGGCGTTTGCTTCCCTCGGCCACCAAGGATACTCAGATTATGAACACTGAGTCAGGAGGACCCCTTGTATAAAGTATAGTAAGTTACACCAGATAAGATGGGCTGAGCATGGGTTTAAAGTTGAGAATGGTCATTCATGATGTGGAGTTACAGGGGAGAGAGAGAAAACAATAAATGAATACTTCGGCAGTTGTGTGTGAAAGCTGGTTGTGCTTGCCTGGGTTATCGTGCTTATCACACCGTTCAGCAAATATTTGTTTGCTTGTCTTTCTCCCCAATAAATGTGAGCCCCTTGAGGACAGCCACTGTGGCTCACTTATCTCTGTGTCACAAGGCCCAGCAGAACCCCCTTGCTAATAGTTCGAAAATGTAGTTGATTCTTTTTAAATATCAGGTGCGAAGTGGCATAGTAGATGCTGTTCCGGTGGCAGCACAGAGGTGCTCTTAGAAAAACACCCTATCAGTTCACGTGCCCTGTGTTTGACTTCGTAAATACCTCAGGGGTTAGCACAGTTGATGTGAACCAGCTGCCTAAGAGTTCTAGTGCTTGAGTTTGCTTCTCTGAGGGGCCCAATTAACATTTGTTTTTGTTTTTTTGGTTTTTTTTTTTTTAAGATTTTATTTATTTATTTGACAGAGAGATAGAAGAGCACAAGCAGAGGGAATGGCAGAGGGAGAAGGAGAAGCAGGCTCTGCACTGAGCAGGGAGCCCGATGCGGGACTCGATCCCAGGACCCTGGGATCATGACCTGAGCCAAAGGCAGACGCTTAACCATCTGAACCACCCAGGCGCCCTAACATTTGTATAGTCCATCGACAAAAGCTGCACTGCGAACCCCAGGGAGCTGTTCACCAAATTTGAGGTGTCTCTCATAAGGGAGATCGGGCAAAGAATGTAAATAAATCACATCAAACTGGGCCCCGCTAATACATTGTGTTTATCTTGTTCATGATTGTTCTGGGTGTGTAAAGAACAGCAAATCTTAAAGAAATATTGAGCAAAACCAAAGTGCTGAATCACTATATTGTACACCTGAAACTAATATTACACTGTATGTTATCCGACTGGAATTTAAATAAAAACCTAGGGGCGCCTGGTTGGCTCAGTCGGTTGAGCGTCCAAATCTTGATTTTGGCTCAGGTCATGATCCCAGGGTCCTGGGATCAAGCCCTGTGTCAGGCTCTGCACTGAGCATGGAGCCTGCTTGAGATTTTTTTCTCTCTCTCCCTCTGCCTCTCCCCCTGCTCTCTCACTCTCAGGCGTGCTCTCAAAAAAAACAAACAAAAAACTTAAATAAAACTTTAAAAAGAAAAGAAATATTGAGGAAAACTGCCTTTCTATGATTTTTCTACTTCTCATAATACCTATTGATTGGCTAATGGGCCAGAAACTGTTGTTCTAGGTACTGGTGATCCAGAAATGAGTAAGACATGGTTCTCAGGAAATGGAACCAACCAGTACACAAGGCAAAGAGCAGGAAAATGTTAGAGATAACTTGACAGAACAGGGCCTTGTGCGCCCACAGCGAGTTTGAAGTCTGAAGCCGTTGCGGGCTGTCAGCACAGAAGTGCTGTGGCCAGACTGCTCCCTCTGGCTGCCCTGGAGGGAGAGGGACAGCTACAGGCAGTAGGGCAGTAGGAGAACGTCCCAGAGGCAGCCTCCAGGGTCCAGACCAGAGGTGTTGTGGCCTGAGCTGGAACAGTTGCTGGGGCAACCAAGAGGTGGAAATGGCGGGTGGTGGAGATGGACACTGTGGGCCACTCCTGGGTGGCCTTCCCCATCACTCCCGTGCCAGAAGGAAGAACTGCTGTGACTTGATCTGACAGAAACTCATGCAAGACCCTTTTGATTCCAGCAATCAGACCTCATGGAGGAAGGCTAATCTCACTTGCAAAATTGCTATCGACAATCTAGAGAAAGCAGAACTTCTCCAGGGAGGAGACCTCTTAAGGCAAAGGTATCTGTCTTTTTGTCTTTCTGGGCCCTGATGTTAGAACAGATAGCAATTGGCAAGGTGCAAAACCCACGTAAGGAACCCCTTCTTGTTTTCAATGTAAAACTGGTACTTAATTTTATTATATAGGTAATATTTTTTAAAGTGTGAAAGAAAATACATGCTTACTTGTAATAAATTGGTAAAATAAAGAAAAATATTAATGACAAAATGAAACCATACTGTCATTGTGTTGTACACATTTGGATACATTGCCTCCTCCCACCATTTTTTTTCACGAAGTCTGAATCATACTGTATATAAAACTTAGCGCCCTGCTATTCTTCACATAGCATTATAGCACAAATACTTGCTTGTTGCTTTAGAAACTCTTTAAACAAAGGTTTAAGAGTACATAGTATTCCCCTGTATTAGCTAATCCCCTGTTTGTGGGTGTTTACATTTCTAGTTTGTCCGTACCGTAAATAATACACAAGGCCACATCTTAGGACATAAGACTTTGTCCACATTTTGGATATTTCCTTTGGAGAGTTTCCCAGGGATGAGATTATTGGGCCAAAGGCCTAAATGTTTCTAAGGCTCCTAATACGTATTGCCAAATTGCTTTACAGAAAGTAGCAGCAGTTTGCGTTCCTACTAGGAGTCTTCAGGAGTGTGGTGTCAGCATACCCTTGCTGGTGTTGACTATGATCATTGATATTTAAATAGATTTTATTTTGATAGATTAAAAAAATGGGATCTCATTTGAAGATGGGATTTTCTTGCAGCCAGGCTTTTGTTGACATGCCTCCTCCCACTCTGGACTTTTAGGAAAACCACCAAAGAGAGCCTGGCCCAGACGTCCAGTGCCATCACGGAGAGCCTCATGGGGATCAGCAGGATGATGTCCCAGCAGGTCCAGCAGAGCGAGGAAGCCATGCAGACTCTAGGTAAAGCCGGACCTGGAGTTAGAAGCTTCTCCCAGAGACACCAGCCCCAGAGCCCTTGCCCTGGCACCTGCCACCAGGCTCTTCCACCTTTGCCCCCTCTCCCTACCCTCATCTCCAAGCTTACTGACTTGTGTGGCTCCTCAATTCTTCGACAGTGTGGTGTTGCCTAGAGTGGGATGTGTCGCTCTTACTTCTCTTTTTGGTTTTTATTGTTGTACTAAGAAGATCTACACACCCCTGTCAAAATGTTTCCCCAGCAGAAGCACTCCCAGGGTCTCCTGTGAAAAGTAGAGATCCCCAGGCCTTCTCCTGGAGAGTGGGTGCCAGTAGGGCTGGGGGAGGGGCCTGGCAGTCTGTTTTCTTCTCTGGAGTTCTGTGGACCCATGTGGCCAGGCAGGTTGGGGAATCATTGCTTGAGGAGATGTTTAGTATATTGGCTGCTGGTTGGTCTGCTAGGGCCTCAGCTTACGATTATACTCTCCAGTGTTATTTTTACATGAGCTCCTTTTAAAAGATACCATCAGAGGCCACAAAAGAAGCCACTTGAGCATCTGGTTTCTCTAGCAGCTTTCCCATGGTGTCTCCCTTGTAATGTAGAAGAGAATTGGCCCTCTTCGGAGTCCTTTGTATAGGAAAACAAAGAGAGAGTTTACTGTTTGAGACAGTTTTGGAAGATTTCACAGAGACTAAAGCAGAGAGTGTGGTATGCACTTGTCAGCTCATGGCTAGTCTCGTTTCAGCTCCACCCTTCCTGGGCCTCCATCTGGATTATTTCAAAGCAAATCACAGACATCATCTAAAAATATCTCAATATGTCTCTCTAAAAGATAAGAGACTCTTGAAACAAAAAACAAAACCAAACCACAATACTATTATCACTCTTAAAAAGTATGCATAATTTTGAGCCACTTTTTTTTCAGTGCACTATTCAAACAGGAGGAGGGAAAAGCAAAGCAAGCAACTTGTCCCCAAGGTCAATCCCTGTGTTTGAAACTTATCTGGGCATTTAGGCTCAGAACCAGCCAGTCACGTCCGCTACATGCGTGCTGGGGGCGGGGCTCAAGCCTTGGGAGAGACCTGGGAGAGTGTGCAAAGTAGGAAGCCACCTGGCCTTTGAGTGGAGGGCTTTTCTGCTTTGATGCAGGTGACAGGACGCCTCCCCCCACACACAGTTTATACACACATCAGAAACAGATGAGATCGTTAAGTGGTGAGGAGGGTGCACAGATGCTGATGGCTTCTGGGGTGTTGAGGGCTGTTCTTAGGGCCCATTAGAGAAAACTATTGAAGAAAGAAGAATGCAATTCTTAATCCTTTCCTTAGAGCTCACAAGTTCAGCTTGACTTAAGAGCCTGATAGGGCTACAATTTTTTAAAAAAAAAGCATATAAGGGATATAATGTCTGGAATTTGCTGGAATTGGGTGGGGTAGTATGGGAACAGGAGCGCCAGGGAATTGGTGGTTCTTGGGTATGGGTGATGGGCATAGGGCATTTCATGATACTATTCTGTCTACTTTGGTGATGCTTTAAAATTCTCTATCACATGAAGTTTAAAAAGAAAGGCCTGTTAGATTTTTTTGAACTGACTCTTACTTAGGTTTTTGGGGTGGAGGTAGGCATGGAGAAAGGGCCAATAGAGGGATTTTTGTTGTCTGAGTGTTTATTTTTCCCCTTCATCTGTCTTTATATAAATGCTGCTCTGTTTCCTCTGGTAATTTCTTTTACTTACTTATTGACTTTTAATTTTAGGAAAAAGTAATATGCATTACATGGTTAAGAAAAAAACCTTTAGGCCTGCATTGTCCAATAAAAATAGAATGTGAGCCACATATTTAACTTTAAATTTTCTAGTAGGCACATTAAAAAAGGTAAAAAGAAACCTGTGAATCTGTTTAACCCAATACATATAAAATATTTCCATTTCAATATGTAATATCAAAAACTATTGAGATATTTTACCTTCCTTTTTCTCATACTAAGTCTTGGAAATCATGTGTGTATTTTACACCTAGGGACATCTCAGTTTGGTTTAGCCGCATATGCATGCTCAAGTGCCACCTGTGTCTAGGGGCTGCCATATTGGACAGTACAGGAGAGATGTAAAAAGATAGCTCTCTCTTCTGACCTCCCTCTGACCTCTGGCCATCAGGTCTACTCCCCAAGGGCAACCACTGTTACCAGTTTCTTTTATATCCTCCTGAGCTCCTTCAAGCACGTATAGCACAAGCAAATTAAATATTCTTTATCCCCCTCTCTTTTACATAAATGGGAATTTTCACATACGCTCTTTCACACCTCACTTTTCCACTTAACAGCACATTTTATTCTTTGAATGTTCTGATGATGTTAGGCTTTGGGGGAGAATCTTGCCAGGCAGACCTTCTTACCCAAGTGTCAGGCTCAAATACCCATACTCAGAAGTACAGTACTCCTAGGCACAGGTACCTCCCCTTAGAGTTCATACAGTGGTCAGAGCAAGGTGTGACATCTTTAAAGCTACAGCAGTGTCCCAGGACTGAAGAACTGACGTGTGTGGGGGCTGGTGGCAGGGCCAGCCCAACTTGTTAGGATCCCACCAAGAGCAGATCTGACTCTCAGGGGTCCGGGCAGGGTGCACCTCAGGTGGAAAGTCTTGGTAACTCCTAGCTTCTGCCCCCCAAAAGACCTCATAGTGCCTGGTCATAATCACCCGGGTTCGTTTTGGGGCTGGTAGTTCTTCTCACCAGCACTTGCCTGCTTTGGAAAACTGAGATCGATGGTCAGTAAAGGAACTCTATTCTTTTTTCCCTGGTGATATTCACATTGGAGAACGCCTAGTTGTGGCCCTGTGACATTGTATATAAACAAACCACATCACTCTGAGCTGAATAGGACCTAGGGAGGTACTGTCCTTATAATATCCTTGTTCATTGCTCCTCTGGTTGTCTCTGCTCACATCTTTGCTTATGGCCGAGGGGAACTTGCTGCAAAGTGCAGTGTTATTTGCTGGTAACCCAGCCAGCAGAGCAAAGTCTTTGGATTTGGTGCTCTACAGTCTCTGAGTCAGGCTCCCTCCCTCTTTTGTTTCAGCCAATTCTTCCCGGACTATCCTGGATGCAAATGAAGAGTTTAAGTCCATGTCAGGGACCATCCAGTTGGGACGGAAGCTTATCACAAAATATAATCGCCGAGAGCTGACGGACAAGCTTCTCATTTTCCTTGCCCTGGCCCTTTTCCTTGCTACGGTCCTCTATATTGTAAAAAAGCGGCTCTTTCCATTTTTGTAAGATCTGGAATTACCAGCTTTTGCCCTTTAAGCTCGTGTCAGGATCTGTCCATGCTCCTGAGGTCTGGCCCCGGCTGCCAAACCAGTGCACACCTCTGCAGCCTGTTCCACTTGCTCAGCAGGTGGTTTGCAGACCCAGCCCCCCAGCTTTCTGTAGGCAGCTGGTTGGCCTATAAAGGGCGAGTAGAGCAAGGGGAGGCCTGTCATCAGGATACCTGCAGGACACAGGGACTCCAGGAGCCATCACACAGTGCGTGTGGCTGTCACATGGGGCATGCAGAGGCCAGCCTTCAGGATTGGATCCTCCTCTCTCCCCTTCTCCTGCTATAGCCTTAATGCCAGATCTGGTGGAAGGAAGAGAGAAGTGGGGAGAAGAAGGATAAGGAAAACTCAGGCCCATTCCTTGAATAAACTTGACTCTATTTAATAGAATGAAATGCATGTGGATTTATAAGGTATCCTTCTGGGAATTTGTGACCTGTTTTTGATGTCCAGATTTCTAGAACATCAACTTAGATCATTTATTTGTTCATTCAACAAAGGATTATTAAGCAACAGCCACATGCAATGTCTTATAGACGTTGCTGACCGTTACAAATACTTGGTAAAGCAGCTGTGGTTCCTCCCTCAGGGAGCAAGAAGAACAAGATCTCATAGGCTCTAATAAAGCAAGTTACAAAAAGCCCCCACGGGAGGTGGCTGACACCACATCTGAAAAGGCTCAGGCAGACATCCTTCTCTTTCTATGTACAGTGGTGGGCCTGGCCTGGGGGTGTGCCGTGTCTTGGGGGCTGGCCCACATCTTTCTCTTTGAGGTCCAGAGCTAAATATAACCATGAGAGCGAGCCTAGTGATAAGCTGAGGCCTGTCTGGGCCTGAGTTCTGTTGAGGCCTGGGGGATACTGGGGCTCAGGCTGGGAGATGTTAGTATCTCCTTGTGCTGTAGGCCTGGCTGGCCTCATGAAATCCCAGCCTCCCCACTATTTATAGCCCCAGAGGCCCTGGGAGGTGTAATGTGGAGGCAGAGGGGAAAGTGGAAAGAACATGGACTTTGAACCTTGGTTTTGAGCCTTGGCTCTACTACTAAGGGACCATGTGACCATGGGCAAGTTACCTTTTGTCACTGAGCCTCAGTTTCCCCACCTGTAAAGTGGGGGTGATAGTCCATATAGTCATTTGTAGAGTCAATATGAGAATCAAACAAGAATGTACAGTAACAAGTGCAGCTTCTGTCTGACTGGACAGTGGGCTTCCCAAATGGGGCCCCCTCCAGGACTCTGGGCCCTGAGGTTTCCTGCAGCGAACAGGCTTTAATGAAAGCTGGCCTGGGCGTCGGAAGTTCTGTTAGATCAGCTTGAGCAGAGGGAGGGTGTGAACAGTTACGGCTTCAGTTACAAAGTCCGGATTGTCGTGGGACCAAGTGTGTAAGAGATTGGCTGCACACCTCAGACTGAGTAGTTTAATGAACAGGTTCTAAGTTGAAGTGTGTGTGTGTGTATTTGTACACACACACTTCCATATATATATATCATTCTTAAACAATTTCTGGACTGAGAAGACACTCAGTGCAAAATGTGTATGCATGTGTCTTATTTATAGTCAAGTTAAAGCTGAGAATAAAGCACAGATGGGAAATTCCCACTCAGATTCCAGCTGTAAGTGCAGCAGATGGATGTTATCAATTTAGGATTTTCTTGTCTTAACATTTTTCTTTACTACTTCCCACTAATTGTCAACATCCTCCTTACAATATGGGAATGTGTGGGCTCTGTACTCCTTAAAAAAATCTCCCTTTGACTTTATTCTTCTTTAACTTGTTTCCTTCTGCAAATAGGTTGAATTTGAAGTGTCATCAATAGCATTATATCTTGCAGCCCCAGTCAGCCAGCCACCGGGATTCAAAATGATCCCCAGGTGGGCTGGCTGGGCAGAAGCAGCCAGCGCCATATTCATCCGTGAGGGGGCAGTGTTCACATTTGTTCTATGATCTTGCTGTGTTTAGGACTCTCCATCAGTCCACATGGAATGTTCTTATGGATTTTTTTTTTTTTTTTCCAGATACCAGACTTTAAAAAAAAAGCCATACAAATGTACAAAGTCCACCTATATAGTTTTTGGGAGATGTTTCATAAATGGTTTTAATTCTCACTGTTAACAGTAACGTAAACTTGTATTCTACATTTTGCTTAGATGAAGGTCAAGGAGCTAAAAGGACAGAGCATCTGTCAAGAGGTCGTTCATTCAAGTATTTACTGAGGACCTACTTTGTACCAGGCACTGTGTTAGGTACACTCAGTGAACGAAACAAAGATTCCCTGTTGTCATGGAACTTATATGTGGCGGAGGGTGGCCAGATGATAAACAATTAAGATACTAAATAAGTCATTCATTCTGTTAGGAAAATAAGCATCTTAGGGAAAAGTGAAGCTGGCTAATGGAGATCTGGAATATAGGTGAGGGGATAGGTTTGCGGTATTAAGTAGGGTGGTCAGAGCTGGCCTCATTGAGGAGATAAGATTTGAGCAAAGGCCTGTTGAGGATGGAGACACCATAGCCATGTGGACTGCTGAGGGAGGAGGGTTCCACACAGGCCAGCTAGAGCTAGTGCAAAGGCCTACAGTGGGAGCATCTGCGATACTGTGATTTATCGTCAGAAATATATATTTGGTGTCCCCGGTCCTGGCACAGAGCTGCTAAAGCCCTTGGACTTTCCTACAATGAGAGTGATAAAGGTTTCTTTTGTTATCTTCATGAGGCAACTTTTGGAAAGCACTAAGGATGGGGCTGGTTGCCAGTGGGCCTCAGAGGAGGGGAGGGGGCTGGAGATTGAGTTCTGTCACGAGTGGCCAGTGATTTAATCAGTCATGCCTGTGTAATGAAGCCTCCACGGAACCCAAAAGGAGGGGCGCCTGGGTGGCTCAGTCGTTAAGCGTCTGCCTTCAGCTCAGGTCATGATCCCAGGGTCCTGGGATCGAGCCCCACATTGGGCTCCCTGCTCGGCGGGAAGCCTGCTTCTCCCTCTCCCACTCCCCCTACTTGTGTTGCCTCTCTCGCTGTGTCTCTCTCTATCAAATAAGTAAATAAAATCTTTAAAACAAAAAACCAGAAGGACTGGATTCAGAGATCTGGGTTGGTGAGCACGTGGAGATTGAGGGAGGGTGGTGCACTTGGAGAGGGCACGGAAGCTCTGTGTTCTTTCCTCATGCCTTTCCCTGGCATCTCTTTCATCTGTCCCTGAATTATATCCTCTTGTAATAAATTGGCAATCTAGTAAGTAAAATGTTTCCTTCATTTCTGTGAACCTCTCTAGCGAATTAATCAAACCTGAGGAGGAGGTGCTCATGGGAATCTCCCATCTGTGGCCTGCTAGTCAGAAGCCCCTGTGACAATCTAGACTTGTGATGGGCAGCTGAAATGGGGGTGAGGGGTGGGGTCGCAGTTTTGTGGGATTGAGCCTTTAACCTGTGGGATCTGATGACCATGTGGGTAGTGTCCGAATTGAGTTGAATTATAGGACACCCAGCTAGAACTGATTGTTGGTGTGGGGAAAAAACCCATACATCGGAAATGCATCCATGCATGCACTGGAGCATGACTGATGGGGGAATAGCAAGGAAGCTAGTGTGGTTAGAGCAGAGTGTGAGGAGCAGTAGAGAAGTAGCACAGGACATCAGAGTGGGAACAAAATCATGCGAAGCCTTATAGGTCATTGGAATGATTGAGCTTGTACTTTGAGGAACATGGGGAGCCACTGGAGCAGAGGAGTGACTTGATATGACCCACGTGTTGATAACAAAGTGAACAAGACAAGTACAGAGCAGGGTGGCCAGTTGGGAGGACCATTGCAGGTGTCCAGGTAGCAGATTGATGGTGGCTTATACCTGGCTGAGCAGTAGAGGTGGTGAGAAGTAGTCATATTCTGGATATATTTTGAAGATAGAACCAATAAGATAAGGTTTCTTGAAGGGTCTCATTCTTGAAGGAATGAGAGCCAAAACTAGGAAATTCCTTTTTTTAAAATGTCCTTTTATTTTTAAGTAATCTGTACACCCAACATGGGGCTTGAACTCACAACCACTGAGATCAAGAGCCGCATGCTCTACCAAGTGAACCAGCCAGGCACTCCAAAACTATGAAATTCTTGGCCTACGTAACAAGGAGGAAAAGATCAGGAGTTGGGTTTTGGCCATGTTGGACTTGAGATGTCTAATTAGACCGCCTAGTCAAGATGCCAGGTACACAGGTGGTTATGTGTGAGTCTGGGGTTTGGGAGAGCAGTCAGGGCTCATGGTATAAATTTGAAAGAGGGCACATAGATGGGATTTAAAGCCATGAGGTTGGATGAGCTCGCCCAGAGATTTGAGTATAGATAAAGAAGAACTCACGACAAAAAAGAGGAGCCAGCACATGAGACTAAGGAGGAATGCCCAGAGACAGAGCCACGGTTACCAGTGAGACTTTTTAGGGAGTCTGTTCTTTTAAAAATCCCCCAAATAGGAGACTTTCTGATCTACAAGAGTCTGTGTTTTTCATCCTTGTCTTCATCGTTGTCATCGTCACTCTCATCATCAAAAGCATCTACTGTTTGTTGAGTTCCGGCTGTGTGCGAGATCCCTGAGGACTGCACATAAATGCAGTTCCCCCTTGCCTTTTAGGACAGCACAGAATGACAGTGGTGCCTGTGCACTGGCTGCCGTAGGGGACCTGTGGAGGGAGGGAGCATTCCTCTGTGACAGGACGGGGAAGGTTGTGCCTTCCCCCTTGAGCCCTGCTCTGTCTTCTCCCCTTTACTGCTCAACTTCTGTGACACGGTCTGTGTCCTCATCACCCACTTCCCGGCCCACTTAAGTCTTATTGCTGCGACGGTCCCACTCTCTCATAAACAAGCCTCCCTGGGGTCATCAGTTACCTCCAGGCTGTTCATCTGAAGGATGTCTGCCCCACCTATCTCATCCTTAGCAGTTGTTGACCATGGTGGGCATTGTTCCTCCCAGAAACCTGTTTCTGTGATACCACACTCTAGGTTTTCCTCTTGTTCTCTGGCAACTCCTGCTCACTCTTCTTTCTTCATCTTCTCTTCAGCCTTAAGTGCTGGCTTACCAGAGCTTCTTCCCTCTTCTCCTTCTATGTATTCCCTCACAGGCAAGGTCATCCTTATCCACCCCCACCCCCCCGCCCAGTTTAACAATCATCTAGAGAATAACTATCAATAATTTCAAAGTTCTATCTCCATGACAGACTCTCAGGTGAGCTCCAGATCTCTATCATCTCCAACCTTCTAGCATTTCCATTCACATGTCTCTGTCTCTGAGACTCCACTTCAGGAGGGACCTCTCCCTCCTAGGCACGGCCTGGCTCTTCTCCAGCTTCCCTGTCTTCCCTGACACACCTCATTTCCCCTCCCAGGCTTCCTTTTCCCTTCACCAGGCCCATCTGCTTCACACCTCTTGCCACCAGCCCAAGAGATGAGACTTCATTCAACGGTCAATATTGTTCTGAAGGAAGGCAGATACATTGTGTTAGTGAATTTAGGAGGTCAGAAGGCTCTGCTGGAGGCAATTTGGCAGGGTGATCCAATTTGGATATTTTTCTAAGGAAAAAAAGATAGTTAAAAAAAAAAGATAGTTAAAATGTAAAATAAGCTTCCTTTTCTTCCTTGACTAATGGTGGTCTCCCCTGGGGCCCTGCCTGAGGGTTTGCCCAACCTGTGTTTCTTCCCTAAACAAGGGCAGAATAAAAATAGCTGGGGGCTAATCTAAGAGATACCAGCCAGGAGTCTCAGCAGTTGTCAGGAATGAAGGGCTGCAGGCTGGGATGAGGGGAGGGGATGGGTGTTATCTACCCCACCAACCGCCCCCCCCCCCACCCCAGTCCCCAACAGCAGAGCCCCAGGGCCCATGGTATTGGTCAACTTGCATTTTCAACGGCCCTACAGTGCACAGGGCCCCAAATCTGCCCTTTGGTGACAGAGGGGCCTGGGTTCTAACTGTAGTCTTCCTGGCCACATGCCCCTGGGCTGGGATTGCCCCTCTGTTGTTTCCTCATCTGGAACACAGGGATACCCAACAGCATTGACCTCTTAGGGGTGCTGGGAGATTAAAGGACAAAAGTCACCCAAGAACTCACACAGTGGAGCTCACAGTCACCCTGATGGCCATTGCATTCATTACCAGAAAAACGTGGAATGACCTCATTCCCTTTTCTCTTTGGAGCTTTATTTTGGGGGAAATGGTGGTTAGGTGAAGAGGATGCTGGGATTGGCAAGGAATCAGGCCCAAGGATGGAGCAGAGTTTCTCGGATGCTAGAGAGCTGAATGGGACAAAGCAGGTGGTGGAAAATTGGCCATCTTTCTCAAAACATCCAAAAAAAAAAAAAAAAAGTCAATGGGAAGAATTAGCTCAATGTAAAATGTTCTGTTTATTATTATTAAATCTTTGCTCTTCTCTCCCTGCCCCCGCAATTTGTTCACTGGCAAAGAATGCTCCTGGGTAAAATGAATCCATAAAGTAACAAATGAATATGGACTGGAAAATGAAGAAATGGTCACTCAGTTTTAATCTGACAGCTTGACTGGTATGAACGACAGGAGGGCTCCTAACAGAAATGTCACAGTTTCTGAGAAAGGAGTTCTTAGTTTGCAAGAGATGGCTCTGCCATTGCATTCTCTGCCACTACCTGACCAGGTTTGCAGACCAGTGGATTCAAGGACCGAGGGGAGGTGCGTTCTTAGACTCTGCAATCTCCTGGCTGCCTTGCTGAAATGACCTCAACCCACTCCACCCCCAGTCCATTCCAGATTCGTACTGCATGTGTTCTTTGGCTACACTCTGCTGGGCACTAAGGACAGAAGAGGAGGATTGTCCCTGCCTTGCGGAGCCCACAGCCTATTGGAGACAGAGCCGGAGCTAGATAGTTACCCCAGAGGGTGGTAAGTGTCCTAAAGGGAGCCACAGGGGCCCTGGGGAGCACAAAGTGACAACTCCTTTAGACTGCTTAGAAGCAGCAAATGGTAGTCAAAATAAAATTAATGATAAGCAATTATAATGAGGTCCAAAAGCAGTGCTTGGTGAGGTGTTCAGGAGGTGATGATGTTAATAAATTTATTGAGTGCTTACTATGTGCCAGGCACTGTGCATTAATTCACTTAATCCAGGAATTCTACCAAAAGTTAATGTTATTCCAGCTGAGGCAGCTGAGACCCAGAAAGGTCCAGAAACATACACATGGTCACACAGTTAGCTAGTAACTGGTAGAACTAGGGTTCAAACCCAGACAGTTAGGCTCAAGAGTCTCTGGACTGCTCCCAACAGTAGGAATAATAGAGGCCAACAAAGTTCTGGGGGCAGAGGCATCCTCCATGCAGACCCCACCCAGCAACCCATAATGATCTAAAGGAGAGGGTAGAGATGGAGGAGTTGAGGGTGCAGGGTTAGCAGATCCCTTTGTGAGGGTGCCTGCTGAGCTTGGTCAGCACTGGAGGTTCAGGAACAGGAAGTCACATAAGCAAAAGAAAGAATTCACTGGCTTGTGTAATGGTAAGTGGCTTTAGACACAGCTGGATCCAGGTGCTCTAACAAAGATGTTAGAAACTGGTCTCCTTTGGTCTCTCCCCTATTTCCCTCCACTTGGCTTTCTTCTGAGGTGGACTCTGACCAGGTAGCAGGTTTCCCCCTTCCCCATGGGCAGCTTCAGACTTACATCCACCTAGCTTGGAGTTTCTGAAGAAAGAGCCTTTTCCTTAAGAGTTCCTGAAAATCCCTCGCTGAGTCCCTGTGGCCAGGGGGCCAGGATATCCTGATTGGTGAGGCCCTGGTCACACGGCCAGCATGGGCGTGGAATCAGCCCCGCTTGGACCAACCGCAGAGTGGAAAGTGGGAGGAGGTCGTTCCTTGAAGGAAATAAGAGCAGCTGGGCTGCGTTTTTGCCAGTGTAGTGGTCACGGCGCGGCTTATTTCCTCTGTAGGAAGAAGTATACTTTTAACAGCGGATTCTCTTATTAGGAAAGATCTGTTCATTGTAGGAAAATTAGAAAACATATTTAAGCCACACAAACTCCTCCTTCCAAAGATACTAATTTATAGTCTCATCTAGAGAGAATTGCTGGAAACATTTGGGAGTGGATGCTGTATCTTTTTTTCTTTCTTCTTTTCTACCTCCAACATATATGGGATCATGTTGTATATCCTGGTTTGTTTGTTTTTACTTTAAAAAATAGTTGATCAAGATATAATTTATAATAAACTGCACATAATTAAACTGTATAATTTGATGATGTTTGTCATGTGTACCACACAATCAGGGTAATGAGCATATTCATCACCCCCCACAATGTTCTGGTGACCCTTCGTAATCTTTAGGATATGTGCTGCAGAAGTGAGCACATGCTCCTTTGTAGTCTGTTTGCCGCCACTGCTCCCGTACTTTCTCCAGATGACCACTGATCTGCTTTCTATCACTATAGACTAGATTGTACTTTTCATCACATTTTATAAATGGGTCATATCATATATACTATTTGGGGCGTGTGGCTTTTTTCACTCGGTATGATTATGGACCTTTTACCTCAGTATAGTTATTTTGAGGTTCATTTGTATTGCTAAATGTGTCGATAGTTCCTTTTTATTGTTGAGTACTACTTTATTATATGGACATATCACAGTTTGTTTATCCGCACTGGATAGTGGACTTGCACACCCATGTTCATAGCAGCATTATTCACAAAAGCCTAAATGTGGAAGTAACCCAAGTGTCCCATCAATGGATGAATGGGTAAACCAAATATGGTTATACATACAATGGAATATTACTAAGCCTTAAAAAGGAATGAAATTCTGCCACACACTACATGGATGACATACTTTGACGACATTATACTAAGTGAAATAAGCCACACATGAGAGGACAAATATTGTATGATCTCACTTATACAAGGTACCTTTTATAGTCAAATTCATAGTGACAAAGTAGAAGGGTGCTGCTGTTGGGGGAGGGGAGAATGAGAAGGGACAATGGGGAGTTACAGTTTAGTGTTTAATGGGGACAGAGTTTCCATTTAGGGTGATTCAGTTTAGGAAAAGTTCTGGAGATGGATGGTGGTGATGATCATACAATAGTGTGAATGTGTTTAATGCCACTGAATTGTATACTCAACAGGGGTTAAAATGATAAATTTTGTGTTATGTATATTTTACCACAAAAAAACATTGTTTTAAAGGAGAGGGTGGATTTCCCGGCAACCCACTGGAGTGGCTCCAGATCTGAAGGAGAGCTTTCGGAGCCTGGGCAGCTCTGGGACTGAGTCCTGAACAAGTCCTGACTCCAAGCACTCGTGGTCCTAGCACTGTGCCCGTGCTGCCTCCCATCTCTGCTCTTCTTTGCAAGGCTTTATCCTCTTAGCCTCTTCTCGGTGGGACATGTGACCACTCGCTGCTCTGGGATTTAAGAAGACAGAACTTTCCCACATTTAGTAAGAAGGATACTAGGGAAGGATTCATGGAACGCAGACACCGGAAACCTCAAAGTCATGTTCAAAACTCCTTTTTTCATCCCCATATTATCACCTCCAAGGGTGTGGCCATTCTTTTCCATAGTGAACTTTCCTATGGTTCTCCCTTTTCCTACTGCCCCAATTGGACTTGGGCTGGCTTATTGCAATAACTTTTTCGGTTTTTTTTGAGGGGGGTCAGGGGCAGAGAGAGAGGGAATCTTAAGTAGGCTCCAGGCCAGTGCAGAGCCTGACCGGGGGTTTGATCTCCATCTCACGATCCTGAGATCATGACCTGAGCTGCAATCAAGAGTCAGATGCTTAATTGACTGAGCCACCCAGGCACCCCACGCAATAACTTTCTGAATGGTCTCCCGACCCTAGGCTCTGAGGGATGGGCTTATTTAAGGTGAAGAAACTTAGCACATTTCAAGAATGTGAGGGTGAATGGAGAGGAAGGTAGGCAAGGTCATGGGGGAGGTGAGGGGAGAGGGTTCACCTTGGGAAAGGGTTTCGTGTTCCACTGTAAGAACATTTGGAGAGAGTGTGTGTATGTGTGGAGACCTCTGCTGTCTTTGGTTTCTCTTTCCTGAGGGTTCAAGGTGGGGTTAGGGGTGCTGAGAAGATGGACAAGACAGAGACTCATGGGGTGGTAGGTAGGATGGCTGGTAGTGTTGGAGCTTTGCGGAGGTT